ACTTTGGTTCGGCCGCTGGGGATGTGCTTGCGTCGTGTGGGTGCAAAGCTGCTGAGTCGGGAGAGCTCTTGTGGTGCGTGGCTGGGAAGGAAGACTGTGATACATAGAGCCCATGCGTCAATCTTCCATCCCTCTAGCCTGAAACGTGCCCGCCCTAGTCGAGACTCAGCTTTAATCCCCTAAGCCAACGCGCGCCCCTCGAAAACATTGGGCGCAACTGAAACCACCGTTCCCAAAACCCTTACGCACAAACCCGCAAGTGGAGAAACACCAAAGTTAACAGATTCTAAACGTGGTCGAGTCATGAAATGCCAGTGATCCTCCCAGTTCGGGAGGCCGGAAAAAGTTGCGATGTGCAACAAGTTCGTCAATAGAGAAGTTCGTTCACAGCAAGTTCGTTGACAAAAAGTTGTTCGTCAACAGAAAGTTTGTCAATGGCCCAAATTGGCCAACAGAAATTTGGTGAGCAGGAAAAGTTCCCGGACACTTCTACATGGAAGATTCTTGGATAAGAAGGTCTCACCAAAGGAAGTGCGTCAATAGTTCGTCAATAGGGAAGTTCGTCAATGACAAAGTTCGCAAAGCTACGTTCTTTCCCAATGCTGTTTGCCCACATCGCGACTTCTCTTTTGCTGCGTGAAGTCTCAGTGTGAGCGACGCACCTGTACGCCTTTGCAGGCTCCAGAAGAATTCAAAGCAGCTTTGCATAGGAACAGCCCAGCAGCAGGTACAAGCAGCTGGTAGCTAGAGCTCACCTCCGCACTTTTAGGCTTGGGATGGCTCCGGGAGATCAAAGAGGGGATGCTCGAGAGGAATATTACAGCATCCGGGCAAAATTTTGAACAATCACTAAGGCTTTATACACGGCAAGCTCACACAAAGCTACGTTCTTTCCCAATGCTGTTTGCCCACATCGCGACTTCTCTTTTGCTGCGTGAAGTCTCAGTGTGAGCGACGCACCTGTACGCCTTTGCAGGCTCCAGAAGAATTCAAAGCAGCTTTGCATAGGAACAGCCCAGCAGCAGGTACAAGCAGCTGGTAGCTAGAGCTCACCTCCCGTTTTGGCTACTTGCCGTTGCCCATTTTGGATTTTGTGGGTGGAACACCGCCTTGCCGAAGAAGATGATGCAGTTGGCTGCGAAGTCTCTTGGGCGCAGATTGGATCTGCTGAAGACGCTCTTTAGGAGCGAATTTCCATTGTCGCTGCATGAGGGCCGCCTTCTCGTATCGAAGGACGCTCTTTTTGGCTGCCCACCTGCCTCTCTTCTGAATGTGCGGCAGCGAGCGGCGCTCATGAGACCTGTCGTTCGAAGCCCCTGAGTGCCGAAGAATATGAGGCTGAAGCACATCTCCAGTGTAGCCGAGCTTTTTGGATGCCGCACGCAAGGCCTTCTCATATTGGCTGAGATTGACATGCCCAAACAATTGATGCTCAGGTTGCTCAAAGAGGAAGCTCATCACTGCGGACATCCACGAACGATCCGCCACATCACCGACCATAAGACTATCATCAGTGGTGCCAGTTTTCGTTCGCTCCTGTAGCTCAGAGAGACAGACTATCAGACCCCACCTGGGGTAACGAGGCCCAGCTGGTCGGACCAAGTGATCTTTTGTCAACCCCAAAGCTTCCGAAGGCCTCAGGTAGCAATCAAACTGTAACAGGACCAGCGCCGCAAGCTTTGAGTCTGTCGCGCCCAACTCAATGGCCACATCGAAAACGAACTCCTCGGGAACTGGAAGCCGCATCAAACCTGGACGGAGCTTTTTCCAACCTGTCAGGGCTTCTTTGGCGTTCGGGAGGAAATCGGCTTTCGGAACAGTACATTTCAGAAGCTGCAGGCCATAGATAAGGTAGGCTGCTGTCCATGGCTCGCAGTCATCGTGGTCGTACAGCCACGTCATGTAGCGCACCACCCTGGAATCAAGGTTCAACTTGGTGACCTTGAGCTTATGTTCAGCAGCCCATTTGTTGAAAGCCCCTATGCGAAGATGATAGGCATCGAGCGTCTTTTGTGATACTTTCGCAGCTTTGAGCCTCACGGGTGATGACAAAGTTCGCCCAGCCAAATCAACCTTGGGCGCAGTCCTCCGCGGCTTTGATGCGGTTGTTTTCTTGCCGTCGTGACCTGAGTCGATCGGCTTCCTCTTTAGAGTGCTGCCCGAAGACAACCCCCGCGGCAAGGAGCTTTGTGACGTCAGAGTCGAGCACAACGTTGCGACCCGCCGGCCCGATCGGGCCCACCAGTCGACGTGGTCGCCGACTAGCGTCTTTGAGGTCCCCATCGACCTGAGCCAGAAAGTCCAGTGAAGATCCAAAGGCCTGAGAGGGAGCGTCAATCGCCAGGAGCTCTGCCCAGCGAGCAGCGAGGGAGGCAGTATAGGCCCCAGCTGTTTTGGTCTTGCTCTCAGAGACCCACTTATTGCCTCGCCTCACTCTCCACGTCCCCCTCAACTGAAGATGCTGATGTTTGCCATCGCACCGCCGAGCAAGTCCACTAAGCCCCTGAATATTACAAAGAATGGCCGTGGGTTTCTTGTAAGCAGCACCGAACATGCAAGCATCGAAGATGATGAAGTACACCCGTGAATCCCGCAGCAAGGCTTGTATAGGCTCAAACTCCCACAATCTTGACCCCCTAGGATTCTCAATCGTGAACGCGAGCCCCATGTCCAAGCAAAGCCACGCCAGCCGAGCCGAAAAAGCAGCCAGCTGAACTCCTATCCGCTCTTTCCGACGTGCTTCTCTAAGGTTCTGAATGTTATGGCGTGCAGGACTAAAGACCGTACATGGGGAACCAAGATGAATATACCAAATGCGCCCGCTCTTCACCTGCTCGATGACAACATGCTGAATAGCCGGATGTGTCAGATCATGATGAGGTCCATGTGCCAGGTCAAGAGGGCGTAACATGCGAAAGCCCCTCCGGACCATACTCTTAGTGAGAATCCCGCACCCCGCAAAAATCTCCCAAGCAGCCAGACCCTCAGAACTTGACATCCGATCCCCTGCAGGTAGCGCACCTCTGCCCGAATGAACTCGGCCCTGGTCTCCACCGCCTTGCTCGAAAGAGGTCATGACCCGATGGCCACAAAGGGGTGGTTCACAAGGTAGGGTTCTAGGAGCATGAGGTACGGGATCAAATAATCGAGAGGGTCGATCTGCTGGATTATGCTCAGTACGAATATGCCGCAGCCTCCACTGCAGCCTTCCTCCCACAATGTATGCACATGCCCTGCGGACAAGACGGTTCATGGGTGCCGAGGATGACCTGCCTTTTTCATAGCTCAACACAGATACCATATTGTCCGAAAGAGTGAACACGATCTTGCCGAGGTGATTCGAAGATCTACTCCATCTACGCAAGCCCATCAAACAAACCCTCGCCTCCTTAGGATTGATGTGCTCCTTTTGGTCTCTCCAAGGAGCTGCTTGTATAAGAGTCCAGCGAGTTGGATCATGCCACCCGCTGTGGATGGGAGGGTGTCTGACCGCCTCCATCACTGTGGGGACCACCGTTTTAGGCGGCCCGAAAAGCTGCTGCTGATGTTGACGAAGTCGCTGAGGTCCAGTCTCCTGCACCTTCTTGGCGAGGTCCCCCGCGTACTCAGTTTGTAACCCCGCTGAGCGCTCGACGGGGCCCCTCAGTCCCGGCTGGGCCAACGAAAGCCGCCCAGGAATGAAGCCCCACTTCTCCTTCACTTCCAGCTCCCGCTTGATCTCGGCGTCGGTCGCCACCGTAGACATCAACGAGAACCCGAACATGGAGGAGTCACCCAAGTGGACCAGAGGGGACCGGGCAGCCAATAGGTCACGCTCCACCAAAAAGATCAACCCCATGACCTCTCTCATCTCTTTCCGGACGTTTTGCCAGACCACCGCGCGATGGCCAAGGTGAACTGCCGCGAACCTGTAACATGAAGACAAAGTTGAAAGGCACGGCCGGCAAAGGGAGAAGTAGAAATTGACATGCCCCAACCAAACCCTGACGAGTTCCCCCGAAAGTCGTTGGCGCTTGATCATCCCCTTTGTGGCCAGCCATAGCTTCCAAGCCCTGTGTCGAGTATTGCGTACCACACAACCGTCTGAGAAGTCAAACTCGAGGCCAAGGGTCTCCAGGGTTTTTCCCCCAGCACGGTCAGTGATCTCGAAAGGGATTCCCAGTCGAGCAAAGCGATCCGCAACGGAGTCCATGACGTCGTTCACTGAAGCTGAGCCCATACCTATGACATTCACGTTGTCCACGTAGACGCCGATGGCGGGGGAAGACTGCGTGACAGTGGGCGCAGGCCGCTTATCTCGAATAAACCGCTCCTCGCTCAACCCACTGCCAATCGAACTCTGGTTCGCCACGATCTCGTTGGCCAGCCACAATGCCCAGCTCCACCCCATGCACATGCCCTTGAAAGCAAAGAACACTGCCTCGTCGTCAGAAGGCTCAACAAAGTCCTGGACAGAGTCGTCGAAGATCATGCCCACCTCGAAGCCCATGCGCTTGAGATCCGCCACCGTTTCCCTGTCATCCGCACAGAACCAACTAGCCATGCACTCCACAGAGAAGTTGTAAAAACAATCACCCACGTCACCCGCAGCCATCGAAGGCAACTGCAACTGCATCACCTCGCCCTGCCCATCCATCGCCTCTCCGACAAAGTCGACGTCTGCAAGACCCGATGCCGTAGAGAGCCTAGTTGTGGGTGGCCTGCGGTGGTTCTGGTTTGCAACGCGGGCATCCACGATGAGCCTCTGCCATCCATCCTTCTTACGGACGACAAAGAAGCCCACCCTTCCCTTTCTGCGCCTGCGAAATGTCAAAAGGCCAGCCTCTGACAGGGCCTGGTAGAACTTGTATCTCAACTGCTTGTTGCCTCGAAGCTTGGGATCCCAATAGGGCTCGATGGTCTCCTGGGTCTCCATGTCCGCCTCTAGCTCTGAAGGCGACTTCTCAATCAGCTCGCGAAAGTGTTCCAAGAAGATGGCCGCATGCTCCGGAAGAAGGCTTTTGGCCGGAAGGACCGGCCGGCGCCTGTGCAAGATCTTAATTCGCTGCATGTCGAACTCTGCAGGGTGCGCAGCCTCCCCTGTGTAGAGGTTGGCCTTTGAAGCCATCTTGGAGATCACCCCCTGCTCGTCAAGATCCAGTGGGCAGTCTCCAAAGTGGGCGACCCGCCGCCAGACATCATCCATAATCCACTTTTGGGACTGAGTCAAGGGCAAGCTGCCCGCTGCAGCATCAAAAGGTGCTGAGGCGAGATCATTCAGCGTCTTAAAAGAGGCATCCACTCGCCGCGTCAGCGATGAAGGGGGCTCACCTCCCCGTCGTTGACGAGAAAGTCGAGGGAGAGGAAAGGGCTCGCCATGCTTCCGGTCCTTCGACCGAAAGCGGACTCCAAATTCATTCCATGCAGTTGCCGGTCGCATCCGCGAGGATCAGGAAGTGCCTTCCCCCAGCAGGACCCCCGCCGGCCTGACGTAGATCACGCTTTCCCCCCGGCTCCTGCCGAGCCGGACGCTGCGCCACCTCCGCCTTGTTCGCCCTTCCCCTTCTTCTTCTTTTTCTTCTTCTTGTTCTTGCCGCCAGTCTCCTCGTCGTCCGAGGTGTCGTCGCCATCGCCAAGTCGCCCTTGATGCCATCGACCTTTGCGTTCGGAACGATAGAGGCGCTCTTGCTTCCAGATCGCCGCCCGCTCCTTGAGCCTGCTGCTGACCCACTCCGTGAATTTGTTCGTCGTTGCCCTCCCGTCCGGAAGGGTAGCAGTCCCCGCCACTATGTCCAGACCCGAATAGTCCGGTTGAGAAGGTGAGCGCTCCACGGCCAACTCGGTCTGAATCAGCCAGCGACACAAAGTCTCGCCACCCGCAAGGGAACTGCAATCAACCTGGTCATAGGAATGGAGCAACCTCAGGATATCACAAAGGTTACGATGCACATGAGCTGCAGCATTGCGACCTGACACTCCCGAAAGACGAAGCCACTCAGCATGGTATGACAAGAAGTTTCCGGGTCCTTCGGACACACTCTCGTGCAACTCCTTCGCGGCCCGAACACCTGACAGTGGAAAGTCCGAATCCTGAGGAGCATGCATGAGAGCAACGGCCGCCGACAGCTCCAGCTTGCGCTTCCCGCTGGCGTCCTTGTGATCCCCAAGTAGTCGGATGTCTCCCAGCTCTCTCCCACGATCGGCACGCCACTGAGCCAGGCCACTCTCCACGACCCGCTCCACAAAGATCTCCTCGCCATCGACGATCACCACGCCCATTCGTGGCAAACGCGAACCCAGTGACCTCATCCTCTAAGAGGGTGGCGTCCACGGCTGTGCCGAAGTTGCGATGCCCCGGGTCTGAAATGACCCAGAGGACCATGTCCAACTCCTCCATCTCGCCATCTCCCAGCACCGATGCCATCACTCTGGCCCTGCGCTTGAATTGCTGAAGCAATGGCCGCCCAATAGGGTCATGTGCATAGATCTCATCTAGGATGTCGCCTGGAAAGGGGGCCCGTCTATCAAGAACCCGATGCCGAAGTGCTCCTAGATCGTGCCTCTCCAGGTCATGGTCTGGAGTAAGGGCGACCCATTGTCCCCCGTCTATTCGATGAAGTAGGATGCGATGATGCCAAAAGAAACCATCAGCGTCATTCGGGAAATTGATGAGAACTTGAACCTCAGGAATATCCAGTGTCAAATCCCCCATCTCACTTTCTCTGGCGATGCTTCAAACTTGAAGGCCTTGTTGGTCCTGCCCTCACCCCCGCTGCCACAGGAGTAGATTGGGAAGATGTAGCTGGTGAATCACTCACTTGGACCGTGTCTAATGCAGGGGCCGGTAAGGCCAGAAGCGATGCCCGTTGCGGCTTGCGATCCAAATTCAAATACACCAACACACTAAGGACAGCCCAAGAAAACAGTAAAAGCTTGAAAGTAATGTCAAGCCAGAATCGCGTCCTCTCAAGCTCAGAAGTGTCCTTTCCCACCTCCTCCAGCAGACGGCGAAGTGACTCGACTTCGCTTCGAAGGGAAGCCACCTCGACGGTTGCCAACTCTGAGACTGTGGGCCGCCGAAGGTCACTCCAAAGACAGTATCCAAGAAGACCCCACAAGCCCACGGTCATCAAACCCTACTAGATCAAAGAGGGGATGCTCGAGAGGAATATTACAGCATCCGGGCAAACTTTTGAACAATCACTAAGGCTTTATACACGGCAAGCTCACATCAGTGTCCCTCTTAAAATTCGTCAATATTGACGAACTCGTCCTCTGTTGACGAACTATTGACGAACTATTGACGAACTTCCTTTGCTGAAGAAGTTCGTTCACAGAAAGTACATCAATCGCCCAAATTGGCCAACGGAACCTTGCCGCGCAGGAAAACACTCCCGGACACTTCTTCAGCAAAGGAAGTTCGTCAATAGTTCGTCAACAGA